TTGGTTTTTATTTACAATTGGATATTGTCCCTACACTAACTTATGTTAAATTTTTTACGTAGAAACGATCTAACATAAATTCTACAAATCGCACCAAGCTACACTACAATCATGTTCTGGGTTCCAAGTCTTTTCATTTGCAATGCATGTTATGGTTAAGTGTTTTAACTTATACCTTTTTTGTATGTTATCTTATTTAAAATGTTGTAACTATACAATTTTTTAAAACAAGAAGATCCCGAAACCCAGGAGCCACTTCATTTTGTAGATTTCTTTTTGTGAATCTCACTTTAGCAAGAAGTCGAATAAATGGATATCACAAGAAGTTGAGTCTCGGTACGTAAGTATAAAAATTTTCTTGATGTTACTGTATTTGAGATTTATAAGGTTGATAAGTTTTGTTTTGTGAACAAATCAGTTATTTTTTAAAATTTTAGAACCAGATGAAGGAATTAAGAGACAAATCCATACAAGATGGTGAATCACATATGTTTGAGGAGGATATTGCATCCACCATCCTTGGCTGCAAGTCTGGCTATAAGAAAGGTTATGGGATTGGACCGAAACCTTCTTAAAAAAAATGTCTAAGACTATTGCAAATGAAGAGGATATGATAAGTCTGAAGAGAGAGCTGCATAAAACCAAGGAAAAACTCCAGCAAATGGATGTGATAAGAAACAATAATGCAACAAATGACAGAGGTGACATTAGTAGTACAGCTTGGTGGGGGCACTAGCGAGCCGAGCAATTCAACTTTATCTTGTTAAGTGATTTTAACTATGGACTTATGTTTTTCTTTAGTTATTATCATATACTTAGTCAACNATGACAGAGGTGACATTAGTAGTACAGCTTGGTGGGGGCACTAGCGAGCCGAGCAATTCAACTTTATCTTGTTAAGTGATTTTAACTATGGACTTATGTTTTTCTTTAGTTATTATCATATACTTAGTCAACTATTAATTTATTAACCTATAAACTCAAAATTTATATATTTTTTCTTTTACTTCTTATCTATAATGCGTTAATGAGTTTTTTGTATTTGTCACAGATTGACGATGGATTGTCAAGAGCTCTTTTTTGGATACCCGATACCTAGACATTTTTTCTTTCAAATATTTGAGATATTTTGTTGTTGGGATATTAGATATTGAAAATTTTGGATATTGTTAGGAGTTTTGGATATTGTTTGATGCTATTGAAAATTGTTAGATGTTATTTTATATTTTGAGTAATGTATGAATATTTTAGTAGTTGTGATGTATTTTTATGGATTATATATTGTCATGGGTGCATGATTGAAATTGGTCAAAATATTTTGGAGTTATTATAGGTGTTTTTAAATTGTTATAGGGTCAAATGGGATTTAATCATGTTCATTTTTTGGGCGACAAAAACAAGTCGTCACTAAAACATTGTTCATCATTTTTCGCGATGCAAAAAAGTCCTTGCTAAAATACTGGTTGTCTTTTTAGGCGACAAATATATTTGTCACCAATATTTTATATACTTATTTTTAGCAATGAAATAAAGACAGTTGCCGAAATTTTCACATTTTTGCGGTGAATATAATCATCGCTAAAAATTTTATGTGATTAAAATAATTTATTTTTTGGCAATGAACAAAACATTGATGACGAAATTAGAACATGTTTGGCGACAAAATTATGGTCGCCTATTTTGTATTTTTGGCAACAAAAGTTTTGTAGTCACTGAAAACTTTTCTAGATGAGCTTAAAGCGACAAAATGGCGACAAAATGAGTTCATTGCCAAAAATTTTCTAGGACAAAATTTATACATTTTGCTACGAGTCAATTCATCGCTAAAAAGTAAATTTGTTGTAGTGCATTGATCAGATTTGAGTCATATTACTATTAATGTTACTATATATGTTATTATTAATGTTATTGTTGATGTTACTATTAATGTTACTGCTAATGTTACTATAAAATCACATACTTTAACACCAATTCTGAATCCTAAAGGCTTCAATATGTTTTGAATGCCAAGAGTGAACAACAACTTCGTCAATGGCTTCCATAGTAAATTGGCATAGTAAAATCAAATTGGTTTAAACTGAATGTATTCGGTTTCAAATTTGAATGTGAAACGGTTTTTTGAAAAAATTCAATTACTTGATTTTCAGAGAAAAAAATATTGTGGCTAGGAAGATTGTAACCAGATTTGAAGGCGACTATTGCTGGAGTAGTATATTGATTTCGTCTATGAAGGGTTTCTTTCATACGTCATTTATTTTATTTTTAAAGGGAAGGATTAGATTGGTAAAATTGATAAAAAAAAACGGACTTAAACTAAACAAGTTTTCTTGTCGGACTTATTTTCAAATAAGTTCATATAGAGAGATCGGCTTCCAAATTTCTCAAAGATAAAATTTTTAAAATTTTTATGTGTTTGATTAGCATGAAATAAAAAATAATTTTCTTTCATACTTAGATTTTCTCAAAAATAATCAACTTTTTTTTGTTAAAAAAAATAAGAAAATGCAAGAAAGTGTGAATTATAACTAACTTTTCATTTTATCCTTATTTTTAAAAAATATTTTATTCATTATTAATTTTAAAATATTGGTATAAATTTAGTTAATCATATAATTTGACCTAAAGACCTTTGTGTAAGTATTTGTCCCAAAATTAGGTTATGAGTCACTTTTTTTAAAATTTTTTAACTTTTAATTTTAATACATATATTTTTCTTCTTTATACTAATTTAATATAATTAAGAGTAATTTAGATAATTAAAAAAAATTCTTAGAAATTTTCTTTCTTTCAAACAATATAATGAAATTTTTTTAAAATTTTCTGTCAAGTTTTTCATTCTAACGAAATACATATATGAAAATATATTTTTTATCATTTTCTTTTTATTTCACTTCACTTTTTATCATTTTCACTTTCCATCATTCTTTCCTTTATAACCAAACAGACTCTTGTAAAAAACATAAGAAAATGCAAGAAAGTTGTGAGTTATAACTAACTTAATATTTTTTTAAAATATATTTTTGTTATTAATTTTTAAAAAGTTTGTTATAGATTTAGTTAATTATATAATTTGGCCTAGAGATATTCGTATTGATACATGTCCTAGAATTAGGTTAGGATCCACTTTTTATAAAAAAAATTTAATTTTTAATTAAAATATATTTTTTTATTCCTTAGACCAATTTAATATAAGCAAACGCAATTTAGACAATTAAAAACATTTTTTAACTTTCTTTATTTTAAACAATAGAATGGAAATTTTTTATAATTTTCTTACAAGTGTCTCATACTAACCAAAAAAATTTATGAAAATATATTTTCTTTTATTTGCTTGTCTTTCACTTCACTGTCTATTATTTGCACTTTCCACTATTTTTTTCTTCTTAACCAAACGGGTAAAAAATAGATAAGCATGATCAACAAGTTAATGAACAATCAGGTCTGAATGGTATTCTTGAAAACATTAGGGGTAGGAGTTATTTAANGGCAAAAAATAGATAAGCATGATCAACAAGTTAATGAACAATCAGGTCTGAATGGTATTCTTGAAAACATTAGGGGTAAGAGTTATTTAGTCTATCAACTATCAATTAGAACAATCAAATCCTCAAACTTTAAGTATATGTCAATTAAGTACCTTTCTCCGTCAACAATTTTAAAGGAAAAGCTTCAAGTATCATATGCCCTAATTAGGGGATAAATTTTGAATAAGCTTCCTCTAATGTTATAGTTATTCTCAAACGACACACGCTAACTCATCTATATAATAAAGTAGTTTACAATTCAAATTTCAAAAGATAAATAAAATAACTTTTGTTTTTCGCGGTTCAGATCGCTTTAAATTTTACTTTAAAGTTAATTTAACAATTAATATTAATACCCTAAATTTAATAAGAAAAGTGGGTCATAAAAGTGTGTTTAGAGTAATTTTTTAAAAGTACTTATAAAAATTATTTCTCATAAGTACTTTAAAAAAAAATAATGTTAGAAGCCGCCCAACCATTACCTCCGTCGCCGCCACCGTTGTTGCCGCCACCACGGATATTGTCACCTACCACAACCATCACCGTCTTCTATCACCACCACTGCCACCGCCTTCGTCGTCGCCACCACCACCACCGTCTTCGCCGCCACCGCCACCACCACCACCACTGTTGTCGCCGCCGCCATCACCACCATTGTCACCACGGTCATTGTCACCCACTACAACCATCACTGTCTCCTACCACTACCATTGCCGCTCACCACCTCTCACCCCCACTACAACTGATGCTTAAATTCATTTATTTGTCATATTTTTGTGATTTAATTTTAGATATGAATACAAATATGTTTATTATTTATTATTTTTTATTACTCTATGCCTTCAGGCACAAACAATAACTAGTTTTTATATATTTGAGCCCTTTAATTGTATGAGTTGGTTCATATATATATTTTTATATAGATTTAGCTAATATTTATATCTATTTGGTCAAAAATTCTCTCTTATGACTATGTCACGTGTCGTTCAAAATAATTTTTTTTTTGTTTAAATTGTTAATTATTTTAGACAAAAGACTTAATTAAGATAAACTTTAATGTTTAAGGACTTGATTGATTCAATCCATTTTAACCTAGTGAAAACCTCTACTATCAAAAGGAAAAGAAAACATATTTGTTTCGAACAATTTGTCTCACATGATTAGCAACAACATGAGTTTTTTCCCTTCCCCGAAACGAAAAATGCCTCATGTATATGAGAAATGCAGCACAACAAGAACTTTAGAAATCGACAATCAATGAAACTAAAGAGAATGACCATAGATACCAAAAATAAAAAACAAGATCGAAAATAAATGTAACACTCCAGGGTTCTGTCTCTTCATAATTTCTTATTTCTTAGTTGCTCATTGGGGTCAAGCAAGGTGGCTATGGCATTAGCAAGATAGGNAAATGCAGCACAACAAGAACTTTAGAAATCGACAATCAATGAAACTAAAGAGAATGACCATAGATACCAAAAATAAAAAACAAGATCGAAAATAAATGTAACACTCCAGGATTCTGTCTCTTCATAATTTCTTATTTCTTAGTTGCTCATTGGGGTCAAGCAAGGTGGCTATGGCATTAGCAAGATAGGGAATATCAGAAGCATGCAACATTTAGCCCTTCAACGATGCTTCTTTCTCAACTTCCCACCTATCCAATCTCTTCATTGCTTCTTCCACCTGTAATACAATGTAAATTTCATTTGACATTAACAAACAACAATTACAACACAACCCAATTCCTGCCAGTAGAAACCAGCTTCTTTTCTCTGTGGTGAATACCTTATTGAGTGCCTAGTGGGCTAGGGCACTTCTCCTAGAATTGCTGGTGTCCAAATTTTTTTTGGCACAATGTCAAAAGAGTAGTGTTATTGTGATGTAAAAAATTGATCTAATTTTTTAACCTAACATCGTAACAGTAACATAGTTCAATGATGGTATTGTGACTGTAATTATTATTAGTCTAGGCAGTTTGGCAATTGACTGTTCAATGGGTCATGTCGGGGCAACACACCCAAAAAGCTGTGGTCCATGATATGCCCATTGGATCAGTTATAAAGGACTTTTGGTGGGTTACCCATCAGGTTCGATGACTTATATTTTTATGGGTAAATTGTAAANATGATATGCCCATTGGATCAGTTATAAAGGACTTTTGGTGGGTTACCCATCAGGTTCGATGACTTATATTTTTATGGGTAAATTGTAAATGGTACACCAAATTAGATTTATTTGGCAAAAAATATACATTAAAAAATGTAGGGTTATTAAGTACTTAATTTTGATACTTATTTGTATCCAAGTACATAATTTGAATTTATCTATTGTTATTGTGACATTTTTGCCATTCATTAATCCATATGTATTTAATGCACCACGTTTTCTTTGGAAAGTGGTTCATTAAACATCTTCTAATTTTATATATATATATATATATAAATACTTATGTATATATGTATATATTTGTTATTAAATCTCTTATCTAAATTTTGAATTATCTTTTAATGCACTTTAATTCATGCATTTTTTTTAAAAAAAAGTGATTATATTTTCAAATTAATTTAATATCTGAATAGTATAATAGTGTAAAAATAACAGTGTAACAATATAAAGTGTAACAATAAAGTGTAGCAGTGTAACACTAACAATGTAACAATATAATAATAATTGTGTAACAAGCTATTTACACAAAATATTGTACTATTACATTTTTTCAAACATATAGTTTCATATAATTTCATTTAAAATAGTTCATCTCCGTTTTAAATTTGTTACCATATACACAAAATTACTGAACATTATTTTTGTTACACTGTCTCTGTTATAGTGTATTTGTTACACTATTATTGTTAAACTATTACATTATTCGGATATTAAATTAATTTAAAAATAAAATTATTTTCCCAAAAAACAACGTTTGAATCAAGGTGCATTAAAAATAATTTGAAAATAAAATCACTTTTAAAAAAAAAATACGCATGAATCAAGGTGCATTAAAGATAATTCAAAATTTAAATAAGAGATTTAACAACAAATATATATATATGTGTGTGTAAATAAGTGTGTATATATATATATATATATATATATAAACAAATACACATGAATCAAAGGTGCATTAAATATGTATTTATATGTATTAACAAACACACATGAATCAAGGTGCATTAAAAATAAAAGTTTTTGAATTAAATGACCCTAAAATGGGCATTTATGTCTTTTTAACTCACATTTTGTTCTATGTATTTTTTGTCAAATAAGTCTAATTAGGTGTACCAGCTTCCAAAGAACCCTATTTTTATTTGGGTAATTTGGAAGTCGGTACAAAAATTTAGACTTATTTGAACTAAATTATATTACAAAAACTTATTTGACTCTAAGTGCATTTTTTTGAAAAAATATTACAAAGTCATTTATTACTCCATTACTCTCTCTCTCTCTCTCCATTACTCTCTCACTATCTCTTCCCTATTTTTTCCCTATCTATTTCTCTCACTCTGATAATTTATTTTTTTAAAATATATAAAAATTTGATTTAATTTTTTCATGTCTATCTCCCCTATTTTTTTCCTCTCTCTCTCACTCCTTCTCCCCTTATTTCCTTATTTTCTCTCCTTATATCAACATTACACCAACACAATCATACTAATCAGTTACACTAATTAGTTACAATTACCCTATAATACACCAAACAGTTACTCATGTGTTCTAATAAACTAAACAGTTACACTAAACAATTATATAAAATTATAACACCAACTCAATTTACCATTTAATTATTTACATAAATCAAAGAGTTATATTATTTAGTATTATGACATGGTTACACCAATTATATACGTCAAATTGGGTTTATCATTACACAAATGACTTTACCATTATGCTAAATTTGGTATAATAATTGGTGTAACGATGTCGTGATATTAAATGGTGCAACTATTTAGTGTATGTAAACAACTGAATGATAAATTTGGTTTGTGTCATAATTTTGTATAATTGTTTAGTTTATTAGAATGCATGAGTAACTGTTTTATATATTATAGGACAATTGTAACTGATTAGTGAAATTTTGTTGTTATAATATTGATATAAATAGAGAGAGAGAGAGAGAATAGGGAGAGAAAGAAATAGTTAGAGAAAATAGGAGGAGAGGGAGAGAGAAAGAGAGAGAGAGGGAGAGAGAGAGAAAGTAGGGGAGAGAGATGAAAAAATAAATCAAATATTTACATATTTGAAAGAAAATAAATTATCAATGATAGTTAGAGAGACAAAATAGGGGAAAGTAACGGGAGAGAGAGAGAGAGATAGATAATGAGAAAATCTAATGAAATCTGTACACATTTGATTAAATATATAATTACTGATCAAGAATGCATAATTTAAGGNAGATAGATAATGAGAAAATCTAATGAAATCTGTACACATTTGATTAAATATATAATTACTGATCAAGAATGCATAATTTAAGGGAACGTATTTAGGTAAAAAAAATTAATTTTATTTGAATTTTGTACCTAAATACAAATTGTTTTATTGAAATTGAACTTAATAGGTAAACAACTTATCCATATACATTTTTTTAAATAAGTTTAAAAAATTGTATCCACAACCAAAAAACCCTTTTTATTTTGGGATATGCTTTTATTTTGGGTTGGTCTAATGGACTAAACCATCCTTGCAGGTGTTAATTGGCAGTATTTATTTTCAGAAGTTTTCATACCTTGGACCCCACTAATTGATATATTACACCTCCACTGGATTACAGAATTATGGAAACATACCTCTTTTTTCCAGTCTGTTCGAAATGTGACCCACAATAAAATTATGGTTTGCATTACTGTGCCGCCAATCATCCCAGACCATATTCCCTGCATGCACCACAAGCAATTACTACCGCCTTTCTTATAAATTACACTAGGCATAGTGGGCTAAACAAGTTAAAAAGATGAACGACTTGGTTTTGGTCAATTATATTTAAAAGATCAAGAAACTTTCAAATTTAAAGGATCCGGATTGACCTACTTGTAAATGCACATCTACCACATAATAATGCCATAATATTGGAATTTACCTTAGCGCCAAATTTGAAGTAAAAACCAAACAACAAACCCAATGGAATTCCGACCACATAATAACAGCCCACGTTGACGTATGCAACAAAAGTTTGCCATCCACACCCAACAGCCACACCTTCATGTGCCAAATATGAGTTCAAAAATTAAAGGATTCATTTAAAGAAATTCAAAACAAAAATGCAGGTTTAATATATATATATATATATATATATATATATATATACTAGTTATTTCCTGTTTCTGAAGGTACAGCGTAATAAAAAAATTGTCAATAATAAACATATTTCTATTCACATATAAAATCAAATTACCAAGATAGAGAAGGGAGTAATAGATTTAAACAACGATTGTAATAGAGATGAGTGGTAGTAGTAGTGATGGGGTGGCAATGGTGATTGTGGGAGACAGTAATGATTGTGGTGGATGGCGACAACTGTGGTAGTTGTGACAGTCGTGGGTGACAATAATGATGGTGGTGAGACGAAGGTGATGGTAGTTGGTAGTGGTGGCGGTGGGGTGATAACAGTTGTGGGTAACAGTGGGCAATGGGTGGTAGTGGATTATGGTAGTGAGTGATGGTGGTGATGGGGCGACGACGGTGGTTAGTGATGGGTGGTGGCGATACTGGTGATAGTGGTTGTAACAGAGATGATGGTGCGAAGCTAAGCACTGGCATAGACCCTCCCGGGTTTAACGATTAGTATTACATGGTTTCTGTAGAAAATTACTAGCTTGACCTTCTAAATTATTGATAAACGCGGAATGGCTCATTTTGTTCTTTCACGGAGCAAAATATAATTTCTAAAAACTTTGAGAGGACAAAGTAAAATATACCTTTTTCCTTATCTTCCTTGTAGTTTTAATTGGTTGCCTAATTTGAAAATTCTAATTCCATTAGTGATTCAAAAAACTTCCATTTGTTACCCTTTCTTCAGTAGATCATCTACCATCTATTAGCCAATAATCCACTTACATATAATGAAAAAAATTTTATGTGATTTACTAAAAAAAAATTTAAAAAATATATAATAAATAAGATCCCACATGAATTTTCGATAATAACTGGGGCGACAAAATCCATTAGCCAACAAAAGTGCCTGATTTTTTTTGTTTTGTTTTGTTTTTTAGTCAGAAAAGTGCATGAATTGAGACACAAATTATATGTTTGGAATAAAATCTTACCGGATAAGACGGGTTGGACCCCATTAAGGATGAGAGTAAGGGCAAGCAGAGGACAGAGATCAGAGACAGCGTTGGACACAGCTTCACCTTCTGTAAAGGCATAGCTGATGACGTGGCGAAGTGCGAGGACGACAATGCCTGCTATCAAGGAGATGAGGAAAGACAATAAGGTCACAATCACAACTGAGAATGCAGCAGACTTGGGATGCCCAGCTCCTAGCTCATTGCTTACTCTCACACTGCTCCAACATATCAACAAAAATATGTCACTTTTTTTTTAAAAAATTGTTGTATGGAACAATTAATCACATGATTATAAGTCTCATATACAATTGTAAGAGGTAACTTCTTATTCAGTTCCTGGACTATACATTTGATGTGGACCTGTGGGTTTTCGTGATATGCACATGAGAATTTTCATGAAAATTAAAGACAAATTTGGACCCAAGAGTCACAGTTGCATCATTAATAAGCTAAATTGACACAAAATATAATTTAGAGACTTGATTGACATAAATATTAGAGTATATATTTGAGTTTTTTACACCCACCTTTAAAGATCTAATAATTATATTTACTCTCTTTTAAATTTGAATTTGTCATTATTTAAAAAATAGTTTATCTTTTTTTAAATTTGAATTTTTCCATTGAAGAAACCTATACCAATCAATTTTTTTTTACTTAAATTTAGGTAAGGGTTTGAGTCTCCGTTGATTTGAATTTAAAAAAGAATTTTCATTCATTTGGTATAAATATGAATCTAACATTAAAAAAAAAAATAAGATATTTTTACCCTTTTAAAAAAAAGCGTACAAAAAAAAATAAGGACCAAAAATACTCTAAAGAATCTTTAATCCTTACTCAAACCTTATTTAAATTTTAAAACGAATTAAAAATATCATCGGATCCTTAAATAAAAATTCATACTAAATGGAAAGAGTCTCGGAAGTTTTACAGAATCTTGAATGGTCACAGGATAGAAACTGGAACAAGCATGAAAAATTACTTTTGTGCCCTTTGAAAGTTTGGTTGTTTTAAATTTGGAGGAACAAACATTAATAAGACCCACATGACACTATAATTTATGACAAATAAAGCGTATAATTCATGACATTTATTTTATCCCTCGTACAAAACACTTATTGCCCAACAACTTGCCGAAAATTTAATGACCAGAAGTCTCGAGGTAAATGATCCCACTAGCATGGTGGTTTTTAATCCAATTTTTTATTCATTTAAAATTTAAATTGTACTCACAATATTAAAAAAAGAGAACAGAGGTAGAGAGCCGAGAGAAGAATGGTCGACACGAAGGTAGTTTAAATAATAACAAGGATAAGTTATAAATTTAAATTTTGATAATATTTTAAATTCAGGTCATGAGAATTGATCCCTCATAAATATACTAATTTTAATATAAATAATTTATTTTTAATCGAACGAGAGAGAAGATTAGTCAAGGTACTCATAATTTAATTCGGACACCCTTTACCATTAAAATAAAAATAAATAAATATTAATGAAAAAATCCAAAGAAGGGCCAACCTTGCGGCTGCATTGAAACCAACCGAAATCATGAACACCCATCCAGAAATCGTCATGCTGCAATTAGTCCCAATCAAACAACCATCAATCCACACGATCATACAAATTTAATTTAAATAACATTATATTATTCGAAATCAAGCAAATAAAAAACATGAGGCCTTGTCTCTTACCAAATGGAGAGAGCATCCAAAGCCAACTCAGGATTTTCCAGCAACCCAGCCAACAAAACAAGAATCTGAAAGTACCAAGTCTCCAAGCATAACATCACCGCCGATGCCGCCGACAATTTGAAGAACCCCGGCAGCCCAGCAAAGGCCTGCCAGCTAAACCCGGCCCATGTCTCCTTGCATCTCTCACTTTTCGCTATATACACAAACTGAGCCACCACAATTATCCACCAGGACAGGCTCAACACAAGTGAAGCACCTAACAACCCAAGCCCAATCTTATAAACAGCCAACCAACTCAGGACCATATGTAGGAGTAATGTGACTGTTGATATATAAGCACTTGGTGCCACAATGCTTTGAGCTTGTAAGAATTTTTGTATAGGGAAATTTATGGCGTATGCGAATATTTGAGGAATTAGGCCGTAGACGAAGAGGGCTGCCGCCGATGCAATTTCTGGCGATTGACCGAGGAATACAAGGATGGGTTCGGAGAAAATGAAGACGAAGGAGAGTAGGACACCGGTTGCTGTCAGGAGGATGGTTGATCTTTGTAGATAAATGCCTAGCATTTCGAATTTTTGTGCTCCATATGCTTGTCCACATAGTGTTTCTACTGCACTTCCCATACCTAGCTGTTGATAGCATTGAGGAATAAAGTTCAAGATGCTTCATTTATGCTATAGATAGGCACTTATCACTCAAATATAGGAGAATGAAATACTAGATTAGTAGCATCGAAATTAAGAGCCTTGCACAAAACATCCCAAAACTCAAACTCTACAACATTATAAACTTTTTTTTTTCCAGTTCTTAAGAAACCACTCAAGAATTGAGTGATCTAACTTGATGACAAGATTGACCATTTGTTTAAACAAATGTAGACTGTCACAAAAAGATAAGAAAATAGGACTCATTGGTCGCTAATAAATACCGCGTTTTCCCAGTGAAGGAGAGCTGTCCTGTAGGTAAATTATGGATTATTCCAACTTTGACTATCTTTTTTCCAGAAATTCATGAGAGAGAGAGAGAGAGAGAGAGAGGTTGAATAACGTATACGTACCATGAGACCGTAGGCAAACATTTGGATGCCATTGTTGCCAAGGGAGGCAGCGGCAAGTTCGAGATTACCAAGATGACCAGAGAAGATTTGGGTGGACATAGACATCAGGTAGTTGATCATGTAAACAGCCACCGCCGGAGCAGCAAGGTGGAAGAGTAGCTTCAGTTCAATCCACGTCGCCGGCCCGAGACGCCGCAGAAATGGCACCTCTCTATCAGCTAATATACTTTCTAGCTGACCGCTGGAAAATTCATTCTGATTTCCGGATGATTGTGGTAACAAAGATGGTGGGTTGTTTTGTAGCATTGGTTGATATATACCATCTTGTGAAGTACCCATGACTGGTTATGCCCCTGGTTTCAACTACCAATTAGCTCACACCACCCTTAGCGGCAGTGGCTATCACGGTGGCGGTGGTGGTGGAGATTTAGGAGAGGGAGAATGGGTGGCGGCTGGAAGTTATCACAGATTCGGACACATCAAAATATGGGCTTATATAAAAGTCTGGGCCTTTGTTGAAAAACGTTAGCAAAGACGTCACTGATGAAGTATTCGTCGAATCAAGTCTTTGTACGTAACATCGTATTAGGTCCATTGAAGAAAGCAAAAAGGAAACTCCTTTTAAGAGACGGTGACGCGATGGTACCAACAAAAAAATGCTAGTATCTGACGGTTATTTTAATTTGAAAGTGTATGATTGATCATATATAACATTGAAGTCACAATCTTTAACTTATTATTCACTAATCCATTTAACTCACTTATAAATAAATGGAATTAATACTTATATTATTAATGTGTGTTTTAAATAGGTTGAATAATAGAATTTATTTTAATTAAACCGACAAAGGTAAATTACAAATGGATATTCATTTAGTTGAATAGTTATTTTTATGTTAAATAACACAAATAATAAAATTAAATAAATATAATAATATATCAAAAAATATATGCACACTAATACACTTAAAAAATCCACTTATATATTAATATTTTATCCGTTCCTAAATATCTGTCATTTTATACAATTTTTTTTGTTCCATAATATCTTTTGTTTAATGAAACCAAAACATAATTAATATTGTTTCTTCCAAATTTACGCTTAATTTTTCAATACATTAGATTTGGTAGAGGCTGAGTACCTTTCATATTCATTTTCTTTTCAATACGTATTAAGTAAGGGTATTTTAGTCTTATGTAATTATTTTTTACTCATATTAAAACTATTTAATAATTTTCTTAATCCTTTTATAAAAATTTTAAATGACAGATATTTAGAAACAGAGAAAGAACATCCAAACACACACACAAACTATTACACCCAAAGCGCAAACCCACTAATGTGTCTGTATTTTTTTGTGTGTTAGTATATAGGTTAAATTTTACTGATACCTTTTACATATAAGTTATATTTCGCCGACACCCTTTTCATTTTTTTAAACTATCACTGTATACCATTATCAGTTGTTTGTTAACAGACTTAACTGAGGACATAAATTTACAAAATTACCCTTACTAGAACTCCTATTTTACAGGGGTGTTATTTGTATATATATTTTAGTTTTATCCTATGTAATGACCTAATTTAATCGTGGTCAATTTTTTTTTTTACCGGATGAGTTTAAATATCCATTTCACAAATTACATTTATTACTATAATTGTATCAAATTAAGGCAAAATTAATATATAATTTTATCAAATTGACCTTCAATTTTATTTGATTAATATTCAATTTCATCAAATTAGCATTAAATTTTGTCAAATTAACATTCACATCCATCAAATTAGCATTCAATTCATCAAATTAACATTCAACTTTATTAAATTAATATCAAATTAATATTTAATTTCATAGAATTAACCCCAAATTAAAACTCAATTTTATCAAAATCACATTAACATTCGATCTCATCAAATCGATATTTAATTTTATAAAATTAAAACCAAATTAATGTTTGATTTCATCAAATTAACTCTAAAATAACATTTAATTTCATCAAATTAACATTCAATTTATTAATTTAACTTCATTTTTTGATTGAATTTCAAATTAACACTCAATTTTATCAAATCAATACCAAATGGTCATTTAATTTTATAAAATTAATATTCATTTTTACGAATTTAATATTTAGTTTTATTAAATTAGTCTTATTTTTTAATTTACCACCAAATTAACATTTTGTTTATTCAAAAAAGAGTTTGATAGGACATATTCTGTTAAATTTAATTAGCATTTAATTTAATTTAATTAATACTAAAAAGATGTTGCTCACTGCTTTAAGCTTATTTTATATGGCCAAAGGGTATTTTTTTTTTTTTTTTTATATATGGCCAAGGGTAAACTTAGCAATTCATAAGAGAATAAATCATCACATCACCAATTTATTTTTTGGTCAATAACAGCATACACGACAAGAGTAATTTGTGAAACGTGTATATAAATTACAGGAGTATGCAGTGATATTTCAAAAACTAGAGGGAGTGGGAATAAAATATAACTTAAATTCAAGGAGTTTTAGTGAAATTTACCCTAGTATATATTGTGTGTATATTTTGGGTAGATTAGTGTGTATTTGTTGTGTATTAATATGTTTTCATATTCAAAGTTTTAACTATTTTACGGGTTAATGACTTTAATCAAACTCATTATGATCTAATCCATTATAACCCGTTTATTGAGCGAGTTAAAAATAGATTGGATTTGTTTTGCACTAACCCATCTTGATCTAGGTCATAATCAATCTAGCTTACCCATTTACCACCTCTAATAACATCAATCAATTATAATTTCATCTTTAAACGATATGATTCTTTTTTTGTCACTATTTTTAAAATTTTTACAAATATTGGGTTTGGTGAAGTTCAAACCTACGACCTACCAATCTAATAGCGGGCTTGTAGAACTATTAGGCCACCGTTGATCTTAAAAAAAATGATGTAACGTCTAAAATTTGTGACTTTTATAATTGATCAAGCCATTTTAGAATTTTTTGTTATAATCTTTGCATTATAACTTACATTTTAAAAAATTATATCTTCCACTTGAAAAATTCTAATTTTCAGGACCATACTTCTCTCAATATTATAATCTCACCCCAGGATATAATATTTGATAAAGGGTGTAAAAATCGAATTTTGAATGCTAAATCACTAAAAGAATGGCATAGTTCAATGATTGAAAAAGTAGAGAAAAAAAAAAGGATAATTATAAAAAGCAGAACAATGCCGTTCTGAGTAGTAAGACCTAGCAAAGTACAAAACGACGGCGAGGAAGAGGATAATGATGAAAAGAGGAAAAAGCAGGTTTTTCTACTCAATGACTGCTTAATTATAATGCTGGTCCTATTTAAAGAGTTTTTGAGAACGAGATGAGAGGAATTCGTATTCAGTTTCTACGAAAAGATTACAAAGTGGACGTGACCCAACTAAATGGGCAAGCACAAGATAAATAAAAATTAAGATAATGCCTATCAACGATATACTTGAGTATTTGAATTATTTGTGACTATCATCAGACTTTGACCCATTAATGTTATCACTATTATAGATTATTCTTTATAAAAGACAGCTTATTCGAGTGGAGTTTAGGACTCAATTTTTAACCAATGAGTAATGTTATAGAAATTTAATTTGAAAACTAAATTTATTACAATCATTAGATTAATCTCGAGTTTTTAGATTAAAAAGAATCGCTTTTGATCCAACTGTTACGATTGATTAAGTGAATATATATTATGCCTAAATAACATTTTCTTAACCAATACTCCTGGTCAAGGAATCAATGTAAATATCTGAGTTTTACTTTATCATATCCCTATAAATAAGTAGTGTCGTGTCTAAACCTTGTCGTTACGCAATTTACTTAATACCCAATTGACGGGACGCTAGACAGCAAAGGAACCCTTATATCACCACGTGGAAAGATGTAACCGTTATAAAACTCAAAGGGCGCCGAAGGGTAATGGTTCGGAGAAGCCGAGTACACGTACTGAAACCAGCATTTAAGAAGACATGACAATTCATTAATGAAGACGTGAGTGACTATGACTAGACTATTAATGAGTCTCTGCATCTTCGAGACCCAAATTGACAGTCATGATTACAAAGCATTAATAGATATGGTACCGTGCATCCCCTCAGCATATCCCTAGGGTACTGTTCCTCCAGCATTGAACGCCCGGGAGTAGGTGCTAAGTGCCGATCAGAAGGGAAATGATCGGGGTAGGGCCATAAGTGCTCAACATGTCCCGAGCAGTCACCCTATCACCTGAGCAAACTAGGCGCGAAGATCTGAGTGAGAAACACTCATTATGCATGGATAAGAGTGAAAGCTATTAAATGTCGAGATGGGACTCCATGTCCTTGTACTCATTATTGATTCAAGTATAAATACTCCTTAGAAAGATGAATAAATGAATGCAAAATCAGACTCATAAAAAGTTAAACACTGTGCTCAAGCCTCTAATTCTTACTGACTCAAGCTTTAGATGAGATAAGTCGGGTCTTCACCTGGGCCCATTTCTGACCTTTCAGTTCAGGTTCATCATCAAGAGGGTTGCTATCTCTATTCATTGTAGGAAATCTCTCATGTAATTTGACACTGTCTGTGGGAACTATATAGACTTTTCCCTGTAGCGATTGCATCATAGTGAATACATGATCCCAAGTTGAAAGGGCAAGGAGTTTACGCGCGAGAAACGCAGAGGCTACCCGACTTCCAACAATCATGGAGTTAGATCCCTTGAGCCAGTCAGATGGAGATGAGCATGCCTCGCAGTAAAGGTTCCCCGTGGATCAAGGCCTTGGGGGGCAAGACCTTTTGACTCGTGAAATTGTTGAGTTAGTGAAAAAATGGATGGAAAAACACATTAAGCAACTTGAGAAGAACAACGCCAAGGTACAACATCGGCTTGATGATTTTGAGCAATCGGGGAGTTCTAGTTGGCGAAGCAGTCAGCATGCAAACCGAAGTTTTAGGCGAGGCAATTCCAAAGGCACAAGGTTAGATGTCCCTTAGAAGAGCTTTCACAGGTGCACGCCCGTGAGGCGCAACCTACGAAGCTGGGAAAAGCCTACTCTTGAGGAAGGATCGGAGGGGGATCACCACAGGGCGAGCCAGTGCCGGTGGGATCTTTGTCATGGACTATCGGGGGGCGCCGTAGCAACTAAGTCCCACACAGAGTCCACTACAAGGGGGCCTAGAAAAGTGAGGCCCAGAGGGGGCCTGTGAGCACGCTTGGATGCTAAGCGCCGGAGACCTCAACCCGAGGGGGATGCAAACGACAACGAGCAAATCATCTCCCCGTTCGTGTGGTCCATCCAGGAGACCGAAATATCAAAAAAGTTCACTATCCTCCGATTCAAAGTTTATGATGGAAGGACAGACCCCAAGGGCCACCTGCGGCAATACAAGCAGCTGATGTCCATCT